TGTGCTCTTCCGATCTCGTGTATGCCGATCTGGAATGTATCCTGAAAAAAATGGCGAGAGATCCGGAAACACCGAGCTACAAATATCAGCATCATTAAGTATTTAGCATAGGTTATTACGTACACTGCTTGTATAACGACGCGTTATCAACGTATCAGTTTCATCGCGATACAAATTGCGTTGCATGGTTCGCCGATGAACTTAGATGTTTAGCACACAAAGTAAAATCTATTATATCCACTAATGTACCTATGGCAGATTTCACGCGAAACGATTGGGAAAGATTTCACAACGTCACACACTGTCATGTTTGCGAGAAACCGTTTGCGCCTGACGACTCGCGGGTACGCGATCACTGTCATTTGACTGGGCGATATAGAGGTCCGGCACATTCAAATTGCAACTTAAATTATCAAGATTCGCATTGCATTCCTGTAGTTTTTCACAATTTGTCCGGCTACGATGCGCATTTTGTTATTAAGGAAATAGCTAAAGCATACAAGGGCCGTGTAGAACTACTTTCAATAACGAAAGAAAAATATATATTGTTTACAAAAAATGTCCAAAGCACCGAGGATAAAAAGAATCGAAATATTTGTATAAAATTGCAATTTATCGATTCATATAAATTTCTCAGTTCCAGTTCTTGACAAATTGGCGTCAAATCTTAGCAAAGAGAAACTGAGAATATTGCAACGCGAATACTGTAATTTGCCCGTAGAAATTTCAATCTTCTTACATGAAAAGGTGTATTTCCATATGAATACATTGACTGTGTCGAAAAATTGAATGATAAATGTTTATCACCGCGCGATTCGTTCTACAGTTCATTGACAGGTGACACCGTATCCGAGAGCGATTACGCGCACGCATGCACGATGTGGCGACGATTCTCTATCTAAACGCTCGGTGAGTATAGCGATCTGTATTTAAAAACAGACGTCTTGTTGTTGGCAGATATATTTGAAAATTTTCGCGATAGTTGCGTCGGAAGTTATGGACTTGACCCTGCATACTATTATACTCTACCCGGATTTACGTGGGACGCGATGTTGAAACATACGCGAATCAATTTTGAAATGTTTACTGACATTGACATGGTCATGTTCGTCGAACGCGGTATACGCGGTGGTCTGAGTCAATGTTCCCAGAGATACGCGCGAGCCAATAATAAGTACATGCAGTCATACGATCCTTTGAAATCGTCATCATATTTGATGTATTTTGATGTCAACAATTTATATGGTTGGGCATTGCCGTACAGAGATTTTCAATGGGTCAACGACGTAACAAATTTTAATGTTATGGATGTTGCGTTAGATTCCTCGATTGGTTATATTCTAGAGGTAGATTTGGAATACCCGCAAAATCTTCACGACGCGCACAGTGACCTACCGTTCTGTCCGATAAGCCGCCCGGCAAGCGGCAGGACAAGCTCCTCGCAACCGTATACGATAAGAAGCGTTACGTCATACATTATCGCACTCTGCAACAGTGCGCTCGTCACGGTCTCCGTATCGCAAAGATTCATCGCGTATTGCAATACGCGCAATCCCCATGGCTTCGTGATTATATCGAACT